GCTGAGGGGCGCGGGGTGGGGAGGCTCCAGTTCAAGGCGCGGCCGGAAGCCGGTGCTGCGGTCTCCCTGCGTCCGCAGCTGCTACCTTCTTGCTCCTCGGCTCCTCGACTCCTCGCAGCCAGGGACCCTAGATCCTGTTCGCCAAGCTCCAGGAGCTCAGCCTCGCTCTGGGGCAGGTGTGCCTGGCGGCAGGAGGTTAGGTTAGGCAACCGGCGCTGAGTCAGCCGGCCTGGGGGCGCCAGAACCAGACGGTCCACAGCTCGGCCTGCCTAGGGCTCGCATCCTAGGGCCAGGGACAGTGGGTGCAATTTGACCTCATCACCTCCCTGGGCACTCCTGAAAGGTACCTGTGGACATCCCCATTTCACAGAGAAGACAGCTGAGGCCAAGAGATCTCACAGAGGGTAAGTGGCAGAGCTTCATTCATACCCGGACTATCTGCAAGGCCTGTGTTCTTCTCTGGGTAGATTCTGACAGATCCCATAGTCTCATTTCCAGGTGGAGAGAACAAAGGTTAGGGGGACTGGGCCTGAACCAGCTTGCATGGAGGGTCCACACATGCCATCACTGTAAAAAGACTGGGTTGGGGGAGCCCAGGTCCTGCAAAGGGTGGGCGTGGCCTCAAGTGCACAGTGGGACACCCTTCTTGCTCATACTCAGCAGGACCTGGCCCAGGGAGAAGTGAGGGAGGTGCTCCCCAAAGGCAAAAGTTAAGGGGCACCCCCAAACCCAGTAACCAAGATGGATATCATAGTGCAATGTTTTTAAGAATAAAAATGAATACAAAAAAACCTCATGGTGGACAAAATATCAAAATTTCAGACAAAGCCATGTTTGGCCCAGCACCAGAATACACTGAGGACCAGCCCTTCACCAGTCTCAGCCCTCCCAGACAGCTGGTCCTCATTGCAGATCTGGGCATTTTGTGCATTGTGCCATGGGCTCTGGGCAACGGCCCTCCCTCTGATGTCCACATCTTAGTGCCTGGCACAGTAGGAGAAAAGTGGAGCTGTGTCGACGCTCAGGACAGACAGCTCAGGTAGTCCTGGACCAATGGGTGGCCGGGGTCCTCACTGGTCCCAAGAAGAGGCACAGGGACATAAACTACAGGAGGGAAAGAGGCCAGTGAGGACAGCATGGGGAGAAGGAAGGAATATGACACCGTAGAAAGCGAAGCAGGCTGGGCTCCTCAGAGCCCTTGTTGACCCAGGACCTGAGCTCGAAGGACACTGGTTCAGCATCTGACCTCCATATCTGGGAGGATAACTGTTGCTGTTTCAAGCTTCTCAGTAGTTGTTAGATATTTCACATTAAGTTTCATTTGTAAAAGTATTGCAATGACATATATGTCTTGATTACTGAACTTTGTGTCCCCCTTGAAATCCTGTGGACCCCAGGACAGTGAGGCTCTCTGCTGCTGAATGTGGGGTGGAGCAGAGTTCAGGGAAATGGAAGGGGAGGACAGTTCACAGTCGAGGGGTACTAGCCAAGGAGTGTCCTGCTTC